TGGGTATAAAATTTTCCTTGGGTTTTTAATGACTTGCAGCATATGGATTGTATAAACCATGTACACAGCATTATTGATCATCTCTAAAGTTGCATTTTAGAGGTGCCTAAACATGACATGATAGTCATGCTTATAAATGTTATTGAACTCTGCCTTCCTGGAGATTTGGCAAACTGAATATTTCTGTATTTTTTTTCTTTTTTTTCCTTTATTTTTTTTCCTTTTCAATAGAAGTTTGTTATGATGTGCTTGATTTTAGTTGTGTGTTGGGAGGGAATGGTAGAGGGACAATAGTGCTTTTTTCCATTTTTCACCAATCAGTGCTGTATGTGTTGTCTAATTTCATTAAAATTTGATGGCGGGATAGTGTTCTTAAAGAAATACACCTTGTACAAACTTAAGAAATGGTGGTTTGATGGAGGAGGCAGAGAAGAATGATGTCGTACATGACGGCATAGTTGGCACAAGGTCTGTGGTTTTTTTATCCTTCCGTGTAACCTGTCAGACTGTGTACATTGGTCAGCCAATTAGCGCATTCATTAAGTCAAACCATCCTTAGTATGCAATGCCTCTTGTGGAATCTATAGTTCCAGGGATATAGGTGAAGGCTGAGGGTACTGGAGGTGAAGCTGAGGTTATTGCGGTTGGATGATAAATACTTGTAGGCGTTACATGACACATCGTTAAAATAATTGGGCCTGGCTGCTGCCTCAGATCGTGGCAAAGGTTGGGTTTGAGTCTCCTGTTCCTTTTCTGCTGGAACACTGATAGCCTGCTTCAAAGTCTTGCTCTAGACCATGTGGCTGTGTTTTAAGGATGGTATTGGAATTGCATATATTCTTTCAGTGGTTAGGCCAGAATAAATACTTTCTGATTTCTTAGTTCTGTGGGGCTTAACATTTGTATATAAAGACTAAATTGAAAACAAAGAAAAAGGACTTAGTAGTGCTATTCTACAAACTGATGGTATCCTGAAACTGGTGGGCTGATTTTTCATAGTTACATTTTTTATGTTGGAGAGTAAAAATGCAGTTGTGTGAATTCTGTTGTTAATGCTAGAAAATATTTTTTTCTGTCTATTTCTTTATTATTACAGAGCAGGTTTTTTTTTTTTCTGTGTGTGCTTCAGACATAAAATATAGTAGATCTTAGAGTTCAGATCATTAACAATGTTTATTCTTGGAGTGACTAGTGTATTACTTCAGGAGTATTTGCATTTGATTTGAGGGGTGCTTTCGTTCCAACTTTCCTCTGTATTATACTGCACATAAAATGTCTAAACCCCACATTGCTTTCTTCTACCCTCATTTCTATTCATATGAGAACAGTCTAGAGATGTTGAAGCCTGTCTCTTGCGGTCTTTCTGCCTGTTCTAATAGAAATTTTTTAAATGAGTTAAATAGGGCTTTTCATGTATATGAACACTTCCTGTCTATTTCAAGATGGTAATGGGCAAAGGGTTTTAGTAAGAGTTACATCAGAGCTTGTTTTAAACTGTAGGGGAAATGGGGCAATTACCATTGGAGAGGAAGTCTGTGGGCAGTTTACATTGGGTTTGTGATCAGGAGAAGGTGAAATCTCCCAGTCTGGGCTAGGTGTATAAAAGATAATCAGCGGTTAGGGGATAGTTTTGGTGCTTGGGTATTTGAGGATTTTGGAGGGCAGGTTTGTTTTCGGTGATGTCTTTTGCTGTGGTAGCTGTCATGTGTTAATCCTGCTGTTCTTTCCCTGTGTTTATAAGGAATGAGGGTGTGGTGTTGCCTCCAAAAGCCTCCTGACACTGCCAGGCCTGCATAAAGCATAGTTGAATTTTGGTTTTCAAGTGTTGTGCAGAAGCAAGGAAAGGAGTTGCTTTTCTTAAAAATAAGTCAAGAGTTTTTCTGTTTTCAGCTTTCCCACAGGTGGTAATGGGACACCAGGCAGTGCTGGATCAGTCTTCAGGTGTGGAAAGAAAATTTTCTTTCCTGCATACTTCGCTTTTCTTATTCAAGAGGCTTTGCATGACCCCATTCTTAGTACCAAACTAATCATGTTTGGGGCCAGAAATATTTTCTCTGGAAGTCAGGCTGGCAGGTATTTAATCCCCTGCTCCTTCCTCCTGCGTGTGTAGGGCATAGATGTCACACAAGATATAGTTTATCAAATCAATTTCTCACTTTTATATGTTATTAAAGAGTAATATATTTGTCTTGTCTGACTGCAGCTACAAAATTTTGGTTGTCTGAGAACTGCGGTGTTGTGATCTACTTGCATTTTGTCCAGACGCACCTACTCTTACCCTCATAATATCCAGTGATACACAGATTATATAGTTTAACAATGCAACTTGAAATTTTTCTGACTATTTCTTAATATTTTAACATAACTGATCTTCTTAGGAATTCAATATGTTACTTTCAGCTTTCTTACTGAAACTTTCTCTCTGTTACCATTTTTTATCTCTGCTCTTTATGTTTTTAATGATGACATATCTAGGATTCTTTCAGATTAATCCTTTGTGCCCCCCGTTGATCGTTTTCTTTCCTCTAACTGCAGTTTATTTGTTTCTTCTTCTGCAGCGTATCTGCATTTTCTGCAGACTACTGGACTGAAGGGGGGCCAAGAGCTAGAACTTGTGGATGCAAATAAAAGAAAATTAGAATGTTCTAAAAACTTTGGACATTCTTAGTCCATCTGCCCTGTGGCAGTGCATGATTTGTTTTAAATTCCCCTTTGCTCGTAGTTGTTGAGTGTTGGGCATCTAGAAAAGTGTTCCTTATGGGAGATTGGGAAAGACAGGATTTATTAGCTGTCTGTATTAGAAGATGAGAAGGTAAAAAAGCAAAGCTGGACTCCCTATCCTGTTTCTAGAGCTCTGATAGCTTGAGTTCTGCTGGTTTTGAGAGAGAAGAAAATGAATTTAAATAGCAGGAAGAGCTGCAAAAGCTGTTATGGGCAAACAGCTCAGATGTTGGTGTGGACTGTGGATAATAAGTACTCAAGTCTGTTTACTGCTTACATAGGCCAAATGAAGACTGCTTCTGCAGGCTGTACTACTGCTTAAAGTTTCTCTTTAGTGCATGAAACATCATAGTGTAAGAAAACTGAAATTGTGGTGAAAGGAAAACAATCAATTTTAGTTTTTGAAATGTGGGTTTTCTTTATTACCTTCCAGGTGTTTTGGAATTCTTGCAAATTAAGTTACAAGGAGGATTATACTCTACCCTGACGCAAATGCTTAATTCTTAATAGGGTGGGAATTCTTCTTGAACAATAAATAGCTAAATCTTTAACATTATGTAAGTCTTTCAAACCTGGACATTCTTTACCTGCAGAGAGCTTCACACTTCAGGTATATAGGCTATGTTCTTAAAACAAAAAAAATGTTATTTTGCTCCAGTGTTGTGACCTTCATACAACATGCTAGAAATAGCTGAGGAGATAGCAACTAGTTATCCAGCATTTAGACTATGTTAAGACTTTCCTTCAACAGATAGATTATCTGGATTGTATTATTGCCTAATCCATTATGCTTTAAGCAGTCTTGATACTTGATTAAGTAACTTGTAAATCTGTTTTCAGAGGTCTGTTCATGCATGTATTTTTTCTTAATCCTTAGTTCAAGCTTCATTTTGGAAACAGATTTTGGCAGAACTTTCTTTAGTTAGTTTTACCAGAATCCCTGGCTCATTTCTGATTTGATGTTTGGATGGCATCTACTTGCTATTCCGTACGAGTGGACAGTGTTTCAGAAGAACAGCTCTCTCTTACAACCAAGACTTTGAGAGGGGTTGGCAATACCAGTTTGACAAGATGTCTGTCTTTGTTCTCGTCAGCACCAGCAGTATGAAGCTTGCTCTGTTTGGAACTTCTCTAAGCATTGACTGAAAACTCATGCCAGTTTAGAGACTCCCTGGGAGATCAGTGCAGATGAAGATAATAATGCTATTAAAATGAAAAAACAATAGAATCTGTCTCATGGTGGACCCAAATTATACTTTCATGGAGTCACAGAAGCACACAGGTTGGAGGGACCTTTGACCTGTGGTCAAAGCAAGGCCAGTTAGATAAGGTTGCTTGGGGACTTTTCTCATTAAGTTTAACAGATCTCCTTTAAAAAGATTAAAGTGATGGAGAGTCCACAATCACTCTGGGCAACCTGCTCCAGTATGAAGCCACCCTCAAATGAAAATTTTTCTTCTTTAGGTCTCATCCAAGTTTTCCATAGTTGATCTTGTCTGTTGCCTCTGGTCTTACCCCTGGGTACCTCTGAGATGAGCCTGGTTTGCTACACCTCCACATGAGCTATTTGCGGAATTTCTGTAGAAAAAAAGGGTTTGAGGACCTTCAGTGTTTGAGTCATTAAATAGATATTCTTTATAATACATGGGACATACATTAAACTGGCCAAAAAGAATGTTTATTTTTTTAGATTGATCCAGATTTCTGCTATAGGCAGTTTTTTAGATAATACATAATTTCAGTAAAATTTATCAAGAATGTGTTGTTCTTCCCAGCAAATGGTAAACATTTTTTGGAGGACTTGCAGTGGATTAATTGGAGTAGAAAAGATTTAAAAATGCATCATTACTTCATAGACACTCTGTAAGGCCTGTATTTGGATTACTTTAGTGATAATGACTGACCATAATTATGTGATAGTCCAATTGTCTTGAAGATAAAACTCGGTGTAAGTTTACCACATCTTAGAAGCTTTGATATCTGGCAGACAATGTTTCTGACGATTATGGCCAATGGTAACAAGGTAATAAAATTCCTCCTATACTTCTTATTTAGGATTGCTTGATGTATTTCCTGGTATAAACGTTGTAACAGCTGGAACAAGTTCAAAGGAAATCTTTGTGGTATTTTTCATAAACCCAGCAAATTTAAGAGGCTTTGTTTTACTACTTAAGTGGGCATGTCTCATTTTCCTTTCTTATTTTTCTTTACAGTGTGTAAAAAAGAGCCTAACTGAATTAAAGTTTGTCTTCCCTTTTTTTTCTTCCTTCCTCCCTCAGATTGCAGCTATTCTCAGGAAACGAAAACTTGACTATTATTTGTACAAACTTCTACCTGAGATCTTGCAGTCAACTTCCTTTCTGACAGCAAATGGGACCTTGTATATTGCTTGCTTTTGCATTCTAAGGTTGGTATACTATCCTAAAAATGAAACATAATAGTAAAGCTATTTTTGTGCAACTTTTCAATTTAAATAATAATTTGTCTCTTTTTGTAGTAGGCTTGTTTATAATGTTTTGGAGAAAAAAAAGCTACAGCTATGCCATTATCTTGATTTCTGCTCTTACCAATTGAATATGAAACTCTGCTTTTTTAAAAAATTATTTTCTTCTAATTTTTGTAATCTTTTAAATTAGTAAACAACTCAATGTATCCACTTTGCTTCTTTTTGTCTGTTTTACTGATTCAAAATACATTGTTGCAGGAAATTCAAATAGATTCTAAAGGGAACCTAAGAAAGCCTAATCTTTCTTTCCTAGGAATAATTGATGTAATTTGATATTGGTTTCTATTTTCCTGATGCAGGGGCTGTGATAACTTTTAATTATCCTAAACTTTATCCAGCCATCCAAGTTTGTACTTGCCTTATTGTGGTCATAAATGAAGGAAATCCCAGCACAGCTTCTGGGGTTCTGTAAGATACAGACTTGCTCTGAAAAATAAGTATAAATGGCTTCTGTATCCTGAGCTGTTTCCAGTGTATATTGCAAGTAACTGTCAGGATAGTTAAAAATGAAGCTTTCCTGTTTATGAATATGATAATGTCCTATATCTAAATGCATTTATTGTAAGAGATGTTACACATAGACATGTAAAGCCTGCAGTAGCTATGAATTTTTGAAAGTTAACTGGCAGCACACTCACTCAATAGCCCCACTAAAAGATAATCAAACCCATTATGTATGCCCTAATTCTAAATCTGTTTAGAGGTCTCTAAACTTTGCTTCAAAGCTGAAGGAGAAGACTAAGAAGAGGAGGAGCTGCCTGAGGAGCTGTGGAATGCTTTTTAAGTAAAATATTTGCAAAGTTCAAAGTGAATATATAAGTAATGAGCTCTAAAGAATATGTTTTCTAGCAATCTAGGTTGTATTAATACTGATTTATCTTTACTCTTCTGAGCTATAGAGTGCTTTTCCTTATGCTGCCATGTATTTGCCTGTAAATCAGCAATGCCTTACTTCAGTGCTGTAGTTAAATGTTACTCTCTAATTTAAGCTAGTATGGTTTTAAGTTTCATGGTTTTCAGCTATTCCCCTTAGAGAGGATATTAGCCATCTAGCAGATCTATGACTGTGTCTGTGCAAGTAGGTAAGAGATGAGTATCTTCCAATGGAGGCAGTTGGTATGGCATCACTTTCACCTATATGGAGCATAGGTGTCTAAAGCTGTTCTGACCTCCCAGGGCCAAATGCAGACTGGGTAATGGAAATGCTACTTAGTCCAAGTGCCCTCCAAATTCCCTTGAAGCATTGTTTGGATTGACCTAGGACAGAGCCATGCAAAAGATAATTCTAACAATTTAACATGGCAAGGGATACCTGTAAATGTTTAACCTGCCATTCTTACAGCTGTGCAGCACAGTAACCCACCAACATCTCAGGAGCTGTACATGTTTTTCTGTTGCAAAGAGATTCCCATGAAGAGTTGTCAGCTGCAGCAGAATCCTTGCTGGCAGGATCTCTGCACAGTGCCCACCACCTACAATTGCAGGACATGCAACTAAAAAGTTGTTGGCTAGGGAGCTGATTGAAACTGGTGAACTGGAATCACTACTAGAGGCAAAAGAACAAAGTGTTTAGGCAGCCATAGGAATTGTGCCTGTTTTAAAGTACATGAATGTCCAGTTATAATGAGTATTTGCAGCTGTTCTGACCATAATAAAATTCAGAGCCTCAGCAAGTAAGTGACTAGGATATGTAAGAGCTATTAAATGACATTTCAAAAAACAATGGATAACATGATTATTAGAAAAGTCATACTTTCCAAATTTACTAGTATGCTTTGAAGAATAAATATGTACCTGGTGATGATTCACCTGGTGCATTTTACATGAATTCCCGGGTGACTGTGACAAAATTTCTTGCTAGGACTCTTCAAGAAGAAGGGTTCTCTATTTTCCAGGAATTAGTAAATTATTAACAAATAGTTAATATACATGAAACAAAACAAGGGATAAATAATTGATTTTTGTAATAGGAAGATGTTGCCAGTGAAGTTCCTGTTACGTCCTTTGTTTTGGATATACCTAAAGAATCTGGAAAAGGGGATGAAGACTAGTATGAGAGATGGTATGAGATTATTTAGGTTACAGAAATCTAAAACTGACTCTCACCCATTTCTGAAATATGTGTTGATTAAAGTCACTTATGAAATTTTATAGAGAAAAGTACAAAGTAATGCTGTGGGAAGAGGAAAAGCAGCTCTATCCTCACTCAAGGATGGGCTTTAAACTAGCTGCTATTAATCAGGTGTTTGAGGGTCATCATGTGTGGCTAATTTGAACAAGTCACTTCAGTACTTGAATATGGTCAAGGAGTGAGTAAGTGTTATTTGGAGAGAAAATGAGAACATGCCAGGAAGCTGAATAAATACATGACACCTTTACAAATTGAGTAATGTATGCCTTTTTCTTTTTAAGAGCTTCTCCTAAAATCATAATGTTGACAAGTCATTCACTTGGGATTACTTAATATCAACATTGTCATGCAGCTTAAGCCATATAAGCTTGCTTTTTTTTTTTAACCAATTTGTGGTTTTAAAAAAAAATTATATATTTTTACATAAATGTATATATTTTTAATTTTTTTTTGAAGTTGTATTATTCCTTGAATTTATTGCTGTGTGATACAGTGTATTTTCAGTAGCCCCTGAGAATAAAAGTAATTGTAAGTGATTTTCCAGGCCAGAATGCAATTTGGTATTGTATATTTTAATCCATTAAAGAAACGCCAGTACCTCTCTTTCTGCATAACTGGCCTGAGTATTTCTGGATCTGATTTGCAACCATGGAAATCAGATTGTCTGTCTGAGTCTGTGGAGACCTAGATGCTCTAGATCTGGTCCTACATAGTATCGAGAACTTGGATCTGATAGATTTGTATAGTAGGATACATGCTGCAGATTTTGTATCTTTTTTTGGTTGAAAGGTGTATTATAGCAGGAGCAGCAGTAACTCAGAAACAAAGTTGTGCAGCAAGGCCAGTGCAGTTGACTGCTCTTACCCTCCTGGAGTTCTAGACCAAAGCAATAGAGGTTTCTAGCTGCTCATATTAATTCATATTTACCTGCACAATTCCTGATTTGAGGAGAGCTGCCTGTTTCCTTCTTTTGTAGCACCAAGGAGAAGGTGTACTGGTAGACATATAGGGTGTCCTGGATCAAGTGACTACTTGATCTGTTCTTAACTTTACCAAAGTCCCAGTGAATCTCTAGTCCCTGTGTGTACTAGTCATCCAGTAACAATTAAAAGATCTAAGTATGAAAGGTAATTGGGACTGAGACTTCCAGCTTGTGCTAATATATCTTATTGATACTCCTGCAGTATTTGCTTCTTTTCAACAAGGGAAAACCACCAAAATTGAAACTGCTGCAAATATTCTCAAGGATGTACAATTTCAGGCAAGAAAATGCAATTAAAATAATTTCAGGGATTGTTTAATATTCTCAGCGTTTCACAGGTGGGCAGAATTTCAAAGACATCTAAATCCAGTATCAGCATTGATTTAGGCTGTGAATAGATGTTCTATAAGGGATTGCCAAGCTAATATGCCTGACTGTTTTTTCCTCGTGTTTTTTTGCTGAAGTGAACTAGGGCCTATGAACAGCCTGTTCTTTGGCCGAGCAGTGAGGGTGATGTTCTCTGTTACGGGTGTGTGACAGGCCAGCTCGGGCTTGTAATCTCTTCTGCTGGTGAGATCCAGAAGACTACATCTGTCTGGGCTTCAGATGGAAGTGCTAGGCTCCAGTGCTGACAAGCATTACATCTGTTAAATGAAAGGTGATTTTTAGATGTTTTGTTCTAATAAATGCAAAACCTCATGAAGACATGGATCTCTTAGTCTAGCAACTAGAGTAATTACTAGAGTAATTATGTTTGTCCATGTACAACTTGCTCATTGAGGAATTAGGTGAAAAAACTCATAGTTCTCATTCCATACACCATGTGAAAATAACTATGCAAATAATAACAAAAACTCATTTTCATTTACTTTAGGATTAGTTTAGTTGTTTCACTTACTGATTGGACATTTTGATTTCCACTAGGCTTTATTATGTAAAATATGCTACTGTTTCTGAAATCTTGTCAACCCATACATGTAAGCATTTGTAAAGGGATTCTAAACTGTGCCAAAAGAACAAATTCCTGTTTCTTTCCCACAGAAAAGACATTTGTTCTGTTACTTAACAGGTGTGTCTGGTAAGATGTGTTCATACTTATTAAGATGTTTAAAATGACTTCTCTGAAACTTCATACAGTAATTACTTTCTGAGAGAGTCCTAATAATGAACTTTAGGTCCTGCAGCATTTGGCATTGTCATCCTGAGAAATTATCCTTTTGCAGCCGTGGGAATGAACAGTGTGTGTAATTGCCATTACATCACTTGCTGCTGATACACTGGCTCTCTTTTCACTTACAAGCATAAGCTGGCGTTGCTCGCCGGTAATGTTATTTTTGCTGGAGAGCTATGAAATGAGGCTGTTCATGCCTTTTACAGGAAGAATGAAAGTGAACTAATCAGATGGTGTTGATTAATTATCTTTGTTCTCTCTTCTGTGATGTCAACATGAAATTTTATCTAAGAAAATGTCCTTTTCTACCCTGTTTGTGTTTTCCATTTTGTTTGTTTATTTTGTTTGCTGTGTTTTTTGGATGGGTAGACTCTGTTGTAGCACTGTTTTCCCTCCAGTAGTGGTTATCAGCTGAACAGCATTGATATAGTTGAAGTATATTTATCATCATGCTACCAAATGTCATGACTGTCTGACTATTGTTTGCTTCTGTGATCAGCTTGAATTAGTTTGAAGGTGCAGGTGTCCTGAGCAGACCAAATGTGGTTGGTGACATTGTGTCAGACATGCAGTTTGATTTTCCTTCTTTAACAGTGACCAATTTATAGAAAGATTTTCGTTATCTATAGAAAGATACTGTCATTTGTGTAACTATTTTTTTTTTTCAACTGTTATCGTTTTAGGAATTTCAGTAGTTGAAATTGTGGGGACTCTGAATGAAATCCAGATCTAATTGCAAAAAATGAGAGCTTTCCCAGCTTAATAGGAGTGGGAAGTCACTGTTGCTTCCACTTGTAATGTAGAGATTGATTCCTTGGCTTACTGTAAATGTGTGCTTTCCTGTTTTTAGCATCAGTAGATTATCTCTTTGGAGTGTGATGGATATTATAATTATTTGATTTGATTTCTACCTCACCTGATTGCATTGCTGCATTCCACAAAGCAAGTCTTTCTGAAGATGTATTTGGACCAGTAGCAGAGAGATAAGCAGATATAAGTTCTTTTAGAAGATTTTTCTGTAACTAATATCTACAACTTTTCAGAAGCTTTCGTGCTTTCCTGGAAGAAAACTAGTCGTTTCAATGAAATGAATACATTAATGAAGTGTTTCAGGTATTTAATGTTTATGAAACCCTTGGGGAACTCTTCTGAGAATTATCCAACTGTAAAAATATAATTATTAGTGTTTATTAGTAAGTACAGATTAATGTAAAAGGACAAAATTAATAAATCATTTTTAATTTTATGATAAAGCTAAAATATGGTGTTGTACATGAATGTTCCATTTGCATGTAATATGTGTACATGTTACATATATGTTACTTTTTCAGGAAGATACTTGGAAAATTCTACTTTTGGTCTCCTGGCTTTGGTGCTGCTTTACCAGCTTCTTACATGGCTATTCTCATCGAAAGGAAAAGCAGGTAGGGTTTGTGTTTATGGATTTTCAGTTTTATATAGTAATATTTCTTGTTGTGGTCAATTGTTGAGTGACGTTTGACAATTCAGTAGTTTTGTTTCAGAATGCTGGAAGTATAGTTCATTTGAAGCAGTGTCTTTTGGAACCTTATATTTCAATCTAGAAAGCTACAGTGAGAAAAACACTTTACAAATATTCAGTTTCCTGCTTGTGGTTTGTTTTTGTTCTTTAACATGTAATTGGTTTGCTCAGGATTGCCTGATGAATCTCAGTTGCTTAGGGTTTCCCAATGAAACTGTTGTTTTTTGTTTGTTTTTTAAAATATAATTTGAATAATATTTGAAGTTAGTCATAGAGAAGGAGACAGGTGATGAAAGTTGCTGATGACTTGAGTTAACAATGTGAGATTAGTTAAGGTAGAGGAATGCTAGGATGTTGTGGAAAAAACTGTGGATGAGCTGAAATAATCCAAATTATTCAATCATGGAGTAAACATATCCCAAGCCAAGTTTTAGGTATGTCAAAGTGCTGTCCTTTTGAAAGAATGCATTAGCGATTGTTTGTGAAGACTGAGGATGTGTAAGAGGTTGTGGAAATGTGGAAGCACTTCTAAATCACTTTCTTTAATGTAACTATAGAGAAAATAATCATAATCAAATTACCAAATAAGTTAATTATCTTTTTAATGTCCTCTCTAGCTGACTGATTTCATCTTACTGTAATTACTTCCTAAGAGGTTGGATACATTTTAGTAGAACTTTGTCTAGTTACATAAACTCCAGCGCTGCCCTTGGCATCAGTGTTTCATTTTGTCATGTGAGCAAATGCATTTTTCCCTTTGATCAGTGACAACACTGGCTTAACTTTTCCTACAGACCTGTTACAATGTGGGGCTTTTCCGAGCCAGAGTTCTAATATTTCTAGATAACATTAAAGAAGAAGAAATCAGACTGGTTGTCCATCATGAACTTCTTGTACCTTTCAGAGTACTTGTGAGTTAACAGTTGTAACTGCTTATGAGACCAAACCTGTACAGTGTTTTTGCATAATAGTGGAACAACTATGAGAAGCTTGCAAAGTTGAGCTTGTTAAGTGTAGCAAAAAGAGTAGGAAAACAAATTTTATATCAAATGGGCTTTTCTAAAAGTCTTAGTGGCAATGTGAAATGAAAGCTTTGACATGTTAACAGGCTTGTATTTAGCATCTGAAATCTGAAAGAAATAGAAGTTGAAAGAGAAGTACATGAAAATGACAAAAGTAGATTGGTACAGCACGTATGCAATGAATAATGCTGGAATACTTAGTTCCTGGAGGGTTATTCTCCTTTCTGTCCAAATTCATAATGTGTGACCTAAGGTATTTTGCCTACAACTCCACGTTATATTGCATCAGTGAAAGGAAAAAAGGCAGTGTTGGTATTACAGTATAACACGTGTATGAAAATGTGGGGTCATAGTTCTTATTGAAAAAAATGTTAAAGACATCAAAAGGTATTTGAAAGTTTAGATTTTTTTTTTAAATATGAAGTTGTTTTGTATGTTCTCAGATGGCAACTATGTATAATGTGCAAAATCCTGCTGCTGACAGTGAAATATGACTTTCTGATTTTACATCTGTTAGCCTGTTAGCTTCTGTTACTGGCAAAATCAAATTTTAATAGACTTGTAGTCCCATAGGAAGCTGACATTTCACATGGAGACACAGGGACATTTTCAGTTATCTTCTAAGTAGCTTAGAACAGATTGTAGGGAAAAATCAGGGAGGTGGGAAAAAGTCCTGTTTTGAGTTCATAAACATATCTCTAGCCCTTCAAATTGCTACTAGCAGCTGGCAGCAACATTGAACTTAATCACTTAATCTCTTCCCAAGTGGATACCCTATTTTAAGTACCACACTGGCATTTGCTTGCATAGCATCCCTGTCAGTCCTGAACTTGGGAACAGCAGGCTTGTAAATCAGATTTTCTTTCAAGTGTTGCTGTTCATGTGTGCCAGCCTTGTACATTTTATAATTCTTATGAAAGAATGGGAAAAAGAGATGGATAGCTTGGCTAGATGCATTATAACCCTGAGGAGGAACATGTTTTTTAGTGTGTTACAGAACTAGTTTGATGATAGTTCGTATCTGTGTAATATATAATTGCAAATTTGCATGACAGTGGCAATGAGGAGAGGAGGTGACATTGCATAGAAATTTCAAATAGACTCAGGAAATGATCTGCATTATGTTATGCTGTTACAGTTCTATAAAGATATAAATGGCATGTTAATATGTCCATGAGTATTCCATTTGGTACTATAAAATATAGTTATCCTGTCTATGAAAACTAGTTTATTAGGATCTGTGGAAAGGACCAAGGAATAAAAACACATTAACTTTTTTGTATCTGTATATATAAATGTTATGTGAGAACTGGTCACATTATTATGATTAAGTAATGTTTTGATAAAAATTATTTCTTAGATAAGAATTGGATGTAGATATATAAACATGGAGATTATGTGTTTGCAATGCGTGGATTCATATTCTATGCCTTTCATCCCTTACTCTAGTAGGAGGAACCCAGAATTTTTGTATTTTTCTGGAGCTGTCAAGCTCCTGTTGGGTTAGGTTGCCTGTTAGGGTTAGAAAGAAGCCAAATGCAGGATTTAACAAGTGTCAGAGTGACATTTATACCTGCATAGTTGGTATATGTTTGATGCTCTGAGTAGAGTGAAGAGGGCACAGAGTTAAATTTCAGTTGATTTACATTACCTCATTATCTCATACAGTACATATCTTTTTAATCTCTTTTAGCATTAGTCCTGCCATGTTATTTTTCTTCTCTGTATTTGTGGCTCTGGCAAAGATATTGAAAAATGAAGCAAAAATATTGTTACTGGTTTGTTATGTGTTTTCACATGCAAAGAAAATGTTCTTGTAAGTAAGGGAAGTACTCCCTTTTCCTGGGGAAATAAATATAATTCGTAGAATGTATGGTTTTTTAATTTCACTTGATTAATTGTCAATGTTTTAGTTACTCCATATGTATATATTGTCATAATAACTATGGCTATATGATAAAAAGTAAGGTTCTAACAGGTGCACTTGCACAAATCTACTTTAAAGAATATAATATTCTTTACAGTTTGACCTTTTTACATCTTCTATTAAAGAAAAATGTGCAATTGTTTTGTCATAGAATTCAGTTTTGTAGTGTTAGACATTAAAAGCTGTGTTAGTCTCTTCAAAAATAGAGATATGACTCAGATACATTAATTTCATTAAACTTCCTTAGGAAATCTTTATTAACCTTTGTATGAAGTTGTTTAACCATATAATCTTTGTCAACTCCTATAGGTGTTGTTCCCAACTGTTAATAAGAAGAAATTTTATTTGTAGTTTTGAAAGAAAAGTATTTTGTTTAGGTCTTTCAGTCTGATTGTAATTCAAATTTACAGTCACATGTTGTTTCTTTCAACATCTATTAAGTGTTATCATAAGAATTAAGCATATAGTAAGGAGGAGATATGTGGCTTGAACTGAAAGAGACATGGCACTACCTTGTTGTAGAAGTGCCGAGGGTGTTAGAAAGCAAGGAAGTAACTGAATATACTTGTTAAAATTGTTGTGAATGAAGCTGTTGAAATGTGATTTGAGGCTTGGCTGAAGCCAGCCTGCTACTGGAAATCTGATTAGATCAATTGTGCCTTGCTGATTTCTTGCAGTCTCATAGATAGTGGAGAGCCTCTATTTAAGACCTCTGTGATTATTCTCTAGGAAAAGAATTATGTTCTCTTAAGGGTTTTGTAAATGTGCTGATGTTTCAAAACCATTTATGTTGTACTTTGCTAATAGCTAAATGGCAAATTTCATTTTATTGGACTCTTGCTCAGGAAATCATGTATTAACAACTTTCAAGAACTATAAAGCTTTAAGAGGGGACACAATTCCAAGTTTAATGAAATTAATTGTCTTGCTGCCTGGCTAACTTTTTGTTTCCCCCCCTTGCCTTTTTTAAGTAATTAAGTCAGAGAAAGTTTAACTACAGCCACCTAAAATTTCTGTGGCAGTTCTGAAGGGACCCTTCTGGGGTTGCCCCCTGCTCCCCCTTAGGCTGCATTAATGTTTACATACTGGCTGTTAACGTTATAGTGGCGCCTGTCTCGTTGCTACAGTTAAGACTCTGTCACTGATGGTATTATAAAACTTGAGATTTAGGGCTTTTATAATTTGGCTGTAAAATCTTGCTCCGGGCAATTTTTTGCAACATGTTTCTGGTTGAAAACTCTGTGCATTTTTCCTAAAAAACAAAGTATACTGGACTCTTACAAAAACATTTAAAGTATGTTCATTTAAAAAGTGGAACAGTTCAACAGTGCATGTTGTAGAGAACATCTATATATATACACACATATATTTAGTGTTCTTGGAAACAAAAGTATTACTATGTATTGCTTAGAAAGTGACAGAAATATTTGTGTAAGAACAATGTGGAATTTTTAGACAGTATGTTCTGATGAAAAGTTCAGTGTTGTCGGGATTATTTGCTTGCCATAAATGCCATTAGTCTAAATACATTATAAAGGAGCACTGTGGCAGCACAGTAGTGGTAAAAAGTATACACTGTAAAGAAATACATAATTTCTCCAAGTTTGTTCATTCAAGTACAAATTTGTTGGTATACCTTTCTCTATAGTAGTATAGTATATTTAGACTTGAGGTGACAATTACCTTTCAGAAATGTTTTATGGTTATTCAGTTTGATGTTGTATTTTAGGGAAAGAGATAAATCACAAGTAAGGGTGGGGGGGGTGAGTGATCAAAACAGGTAAACAAACTCTTTTAACACAGAAAGTGGTTTTGGAAGTGTTAGTCTTACTTGCTACAGATAAGAAATTGAGAAAGCAAGCTACACTGAGGATGACTTTTTGCCTATTTTTTGTGTTGTAGTGAAAAAGACGCTTAAGTTTGAATCACTGACTTGTGAATTTTGTGGTGTAATCTGGTAAGGAGAACTGGCAA